GTAGGACGAGTTCTTGTTCTGCACGTTCAGCATCTGCTCATCCACCTCCTTGGTGCTCATCTTCCCACGGAACATGGCCGAGGCCGTCAGGTACCGGCCGTGGCGCGGGTCCGCCGCGCACATCATGTTCTTGGCGTCCCACATCTGCTGGGTCAGCTCGGGGACCGTGAGGGCACGGTACTGCTGCGACCCGCGAGAGGTCAGCGGGACGAAGCCGACCATGAAGAAGTGGAGACGAGGGAACGGGATCAGGTTCACGGCAAGCTTGCGCAGATCAGAGTTGAGCTGACCAGGGAACCTCAGGCAGCATGTCACGCCACTCATGGTAGCAGAGATAAGATGGTTCAGGTCACCAACTGCATCGTTAGAACCCACCATCAGTACCAACCTTTTTCAGTAGAATACAAACTACAGGACATCAAATTTCTAAAGAATTAGTGAGGATTAACTTACAGGTAGGGGTGGCGAGCTTTAGTGTGCGGAAGCATATGTCATACAGAGCCTCGTTGTCAAGCACCATACATTCATCAGCATTCTCAATGAGTTGGTGAACGGAAAGTGTAGCATTGTAAGGCTCCACAACAGTATCGGAAACCTTTGGCGATGGGAATACAGAGAAGGTCAGCATCATTCTGTCAGGGTACTCCTCCCTGATCTTGGAAATAAGAAGGGTGCCCATGCCAGATCCAGTGCCTCCTCCCAAGGAATGGCAAACTTGAAAACCTGTAAGGTAAATAAAACGAGTCATTCAATTATCCACAAACACAAACAGTATTCCCAGCATGAAAAATGTACTCGGACTACATGGGCTGGAAAGATACAGCAACACTTGAAGGTCTCAAGATATCAGAATTCTATGTTACCACGGTTAAGTGATGCATTCTATGTGACTAGAGTTTGTTAACAATAATCAATCATGTATTCATGTTACCACGGTTAAGTGATATTTTGAATTCAGTCAATTTCACAACATACTACCACCATGCTCTGGTAGCCCATGAACTGATCTTGACATGCTACCAAATACTTCACTTGGGCACACCATCGCTTGAACTTATCAGCCGTACCGTTTCAGCAAAATAACAGTGTTTTTCTCTCACAACAAATCAACATCAGCCGTTTTTCCAGCCAGCCGAACAGGGCATATATTAACACACAACAACCATATAGGAATTAAATTTCAAGAGACATAAAGCTTCATCACTGCTATATTCACCAAGACATGGAATTCATTTTGTCTGGTGTTGGCCAAATAATTCACTCCAGCTACGACGCAATATTTAATTTGGCTTTTTAATGGGAGTTGGCCATTAGAAGTTGTAGGCTGCCAGAGTGGAATTCCAAGCTAACACACCCAACACTCATGTTACATTAATAAAATATCCATCCTACCGACAGCTGATGTCGGTCCAGCTACTTAGCCCAGAGAAAAGGTACAAGTTCAACATGAATCAACAAGAGTATACATGAAGAGTTGAAGACAGACAAATTGACTAGAGAACCTCAACAGAGTTCCATTGACTAGCAAACCTCTAGAGAGTTCCATCATGAAAGCGCCAATATAACCACAAAAAAATAGACCAAACACGATAGTTACTATAGCTATGATGTTTTCTGTTCAAATCATCCGACGCAGACTGTACGAATGCTTACCCAATAACGGAAATTACCAATCATCACTACATCATGCTAGGTAGAAAAAATAGCTGAATCCACAGCTACAAGCAATATTTTCAATGCATGCAGTGCCATAACAATTAACAACCTACCTAGAGGCATAGCCGCATAGGCTAATGCTTAACAATAACACGGGCCACTTGGCTAATTCATCAGCACACAAGACAAATTACTGGTAAATGCGACTGTCGATGAAAAAAACACCTCGCTGAAATGCCAATTGGAGGTCATTTTAATGTCATTCACATTCCCACGGACTCAGATCTGGCCCCCCAACCAAACCGGATGTAACCCTAACAATTAATCGGAAAAGCTACGGCATATCGGAGCGCGCGAGACATGTGGAATTGGGCGGAGTAATAAATAATAATAAATACCTTGGAGGCAGTCGCAGTTCTCGGCCTCCTTGCGGACGACGTCGAGGACGGAGTCGATGAGCTCGGCGCCCTCGGTGTAGTGTCCCTTGGCCCAGTTGTTTCCGGCGCCGGACTGGCCGAAGACGAAGTTGTCGGGGCGGAAGATCTGGCCGAAGGGCCCCGAGCGCAGGGAGTCCATGGTCCCCGGTTCGAGGTCCATGAGGACGGCGCGCGGGACGAAGCGGCCGCCGCTGGCCTCGTTGTAGTAGACGTTGATGCGCTCGAGCTGGAGGTCCGAGTCCCCCGCGTAGCGGCCCGTGGCGTCGATCCCGTGCTCGTCGCAGATCACCTCCCAGAACTTGGCCCCGATCTGGTTCCCGCACTGCCCGCCCTGGATGTGCAGGATCTCCCTCATAGCTGACGCCTGCCTGCTCGCTGCTGCTGCCTCGCCGGGGTCGGGGTCGGACGCGGGCGGGGAAAAGGAAGGCGAGGCGGGGAGGGAGGGAGGGAGCGGCCGCACGGGCCTCGGGTGCTGTGGGCTTGCGGTGTAGTCTAGGTGAGGACGGATTTGAAATGCTGCTTTATGCTGTTGCCGTGGGGCTTCCACCGAGCCTTGGAGCTGGAGTGGGCAGTCTTGTGGACCTTTGTGCTGTGTCGGGCCGTGCCCGGTGGGTGGAGACTGGAGAGAGGCCCGGCCGCGGTGGGGGCCCAGTCGCAGACGAGTGGTGGCGATGGGGCTGGTCCATCTCCACCGTCTGTTTGTTTATCGGACGGCTACAGGGCCCGTTTTCTGTATTTTTTTAAGAGCGAGTATAATAAGGGAATGTAAGTAGGTTGTACGTTGACGTGGAGGAGAGAAAAAGAAAGCGGGTTATAATCTTACAGTCGGTTTAGACACAAGACCTAAAAAAATTTGTGAGACAGACAAGTAGGTTGTAAGCTGGATAACTATTATACGAATGGGATGATAGATTAGCCGTAATTTTCCTACTTGGCGTTGGCGTTGGCGTTGGCGACTTTTGGTCCAGGCTGGGCGTGGGCCCACGTGGCAGGCTGTCGTAACCGAACCGGCGGGGCCAAAAAGACAAGCTTCCGAGCTGTACACTGTATAGCTGTGGTGTCTCTTCTCGTCTTTGAGCAGCAGCAATGCTTACGAGACAGGCAATGATTAGATGTGTGATTATGGCGGCTATTTAGGTGGTGTTGGATTCGGTGACTAAAATTTAGAAGATGTGTTGGGAGGATATTGTATGGGGTGTTCGAATATTAATAAAAAAAATAAATTACATAATCCGTCAGTACTCCACGATATGAATTTTTAAGCCTAATCAATCCGTCGTTAGTACATGTTTACTGTAGCATCACATTGCCAAATTATAGACTAATTAGGCTTAAAAGATTTATCTCTCAAATTAGTCGCAAACTATACAATTAGTTTCGTAATTACGTCTATATTTAATACTCCACATAAACATTCGATAAACAACGACTAAAATTTAGAAAGAGCAACCAAACAACACCTTACAGCGGATAGCGACGCTTGGCCGGTAATGCAAAGTAACGCCTGGACCCTCCGTGTCAACAGACGTAGCTGTTGCTTAGTCAGAGGAATGACGACAAGGACCAATTACCAGCATGTTGCTGCTGATCAGCTCATGTTGCTGGGGGGCCTCAGCCCTCAGGTAGGGAACACACACAGAGAGAGGGTGGCAGTGGCACCAACTAATGCATGGCTGGCTGGGGACGAACTAGCTGAAAGTACAAGCTAAACACGTACTAAAACTCATGACGAGAGAAAAGAACCGCTGTTTTCTGCTTGCCACGGCAAGCGGGGGAGGAAAGCTAAGGACATAGTACCCGTTTAGATAGCCAAGTGATCCCAACAGACCTAGCGATACATCGATCCATTCCAATCATGGTCAACAAAACAGCGGGGTCTTATTTATTATTAACTGCTTCGATGCTACATCATGCACTGTTATCACGCTATGTATGGGTACACTAGCTTCCCCTACCTCTTCGAGTTGAAGATTGCTGCCAGGTAGGATGGCCAACAGCAAAGCTAACCACTCTTGTCCTCGTTCCGATTCTTCGTTGATTGGTCAGGGGAAGAAATGCTAGTTATCGTACATGACTTGGGCAGCGCCGAGCGATCGGTCGACAGTACTGCTCACTGCTTACGTGGCTAAACTGCCACCGAGGACCCGTGGGAGCTGAGGCGCGAGCGCGACAGGCGAGATAGCAGTAGCACAAACAAAAAACAAAAGCAAACAAAAAAAAACTGCTAGAATTCAAAAAAGAAACAACAAAAATCTGCTCTTTTACATGAGTTATATGGCAATGATGACACAGAAAAAGACTGATGACAATAATATAGTAATAATATTGAAAAAAACATACTGCAGACTGATAGAGGAATAGTGGCTTCTCAAACATTCAGATTAAGGCTCCTTGAATTTGTTGAATCAAAGCCTTTTAAATTTGAATCGCGTTTAGAATAGATTAAAACATTTTGCTCAAAAGCTAGAACAGGTCCAGACGTCCAGTTGCAAGTGCAACTCATAATTTGGCTGCTCAAATTTGTTGAAGCAGTGTAAGTGGCACACTAGCCAAGACAGCATTCTTCGAACACAGGGAGTACAACAAGATTATAGGCTGAATGTGGAAGGACAAAGTACATCTATCACCAGATCCAAATCATTGTTAAATATTTAAATAGCAGTGTTACTCTCAGCAAAACTGGGGACAAAGTTTCGATGACAAGCCGTGAGCTTATCCGGCAATTCTGAAGACGGACGTTCACTCTTTATTATTATTCTGCTACATAGATGGTACACCTGCTGCCCAAATCGACAAGCTTTGCTGACAAGCTGCTGAGCTTTTGCCAGGTAGGATGATGAGCACCGTCCCTTCCATATCATGCAGCCAACCACTCTTGTTCCAATTCTTCCTTGTTTGGTTATGGAACTAGAAAGCCTTCTTCTCGTATGAAACCAGCCCATGGATTCCACCTTCAACCTGGGCAGCGCCGGTTCTCACCTGGTAAGGACAACCAATAAATATATCAAATCAGTTCAGTATGCTTCCTGGAACAGATGCTCAGCTTTTGGCTAGTAATTATATGTTTTCAGAAAATAAAGATGGATACATTCACTATTTCCACCAGCAATAATTCAAAGTCCTTGTCCATATCGAACCTAATCTCCAAATTAGTACATCATTTTGACCTTTCTACGATTCATATTATGGATTAATAAAGACTATTAAATAATCTACTGAACTTTGGAGCTGGTACCACAAATAAACCTACTTGTAAGTATTAACAGGAGTTAACTTTAATTGTTTAAACAATCTTTCTGTAAATGAGCAAGATGAATTTCTCCAATCTTAGACAATTGATATTAAAATCTAAAACATGTTGGAAGATAACTTGTGTGCAGCCTAAAAATACCTCTAATCTGAGTGTCTCTGATCGCAAAAGATCATGAGCTGACTGGAGAGAATCTGCGCCAAGATCTTGGAATCCTTGCTTAACTGCTTGCATTGTGTAAGGGATGAACCTCAGTACAGAACCTTTGTCAGCTACTGCTCCAACAACGCCCTGCGCAACTTTGAGCTTGAGTGTATCACCAAGGTACCTTGCATCACTCCCTTTTGTCATGGCTTCAAGAGAGCCCATGCCTCTGTATTTTTTTACGCGACGGCCATCCTAAAAATGGCATGTCAAGAGTTATAACTCAAAACATTTTCATGAAAGAGCAGATGAAAGTTTAATGTGTCAGACATAGATTGGTACAAAATAATAAAGAAGCCAAATAACGAGTTAACAACTTAAGAAACAACTTATGTGATAAATAAAGTACTACAATTGACACACAAAATGCAGATGGGTTCTCACAGATGTTAATTCTAATTCTTTTCGAGGGAGTTCATGGTCCTAGCTTATATAATATATGATCCCGAAACAATCAACTATCGAGATCTAGTAAGCTAGCCACTAGTGCAAAAGGTCCAAATAAAAAAATGTTGAGCTATAAGGTGTATTTGATATGCTCCCTCAAACAAAATGGCAAAGATAGTTGGCTACTTCATAAGCAGTCAGCACAGACTATAACTAGCAAAATGACATGAACCAACAATACATACGCATATACTGACTACATCCCAAAATAAATCAACATCTAGAGTTATCCTAAATCAAACTATTTTAAGTTCGAACAACTTTATGTAGAAGGGTATCCATGACACCAAATAAGTGCACTATGGAAATATATTTTGTGATGTAACTAATGATACAATTTTGATGTCATAAATATTGGTGCTCTTTTCATTAAATTTGGTCAAACCTAACAAAGTTTTAATTAGGACAACTCTAGAAGTTGATTTATTTTGGGACCGAGGGAGTAATTTCAGCCTGAAATATCTGATATTCTGGCAGCATGGTTACTCATGCACAATGCAAATATAGAAGGATACATCCAAGTGCCATTCAGTCATCATATAAACCACTTTCATTGCACTTTCTTGTTAACTTCAATGCCATCTAATTAGACTGTTCTTTGTACATAAAGGAATTTTTCATTGCAGTGGCCACATGGGCTTGACGGCATGTTCATGGCATGTGATCTTCAGTATGAATCAAGTCTCACATTCTACATGGCTGTAGGGACTTTGAAGTCATCAACTAAGTCCAAAAGACCAAAAGGCATTTGAACATTCTGTTTACGGTAATCATATTAAACAAAAAGCAAAAACAGAACTTTACCCATTTCAGAACAGCAAAAACATCAAAATACATATTGTATACCTTGTACTCATAAGTACCAGGAGCTTCATGACTGCCAGCTAAAAAGCTGCCCATCATAACAGTGGATGCCCCCAGCGACAGAGCTTTCACAATGTGTCCAGAATTTGAAATTCCACCATCAGCAATAACTGGTACATTGTGATCCTTGGCAAAAGATGAAACCTTATACACCGCTGTTGCCTGTCCACCAACACAAAAGAACATCAAACACAAGCAGCAGTATTAAAATTATTTTGTCTCTACAATATACCATAGGCAGAAAACCCTGGGAATCATTTGTCTCCACTATCCACCACAAGATAACAAAAATTTAAAGGCTCCTCTCCAACATGATTAGACCACCAAGAATCCATGAGGAAATAAGGAACAACATTTCCATATATATCAGACTGTACTTCTGGGGGAAATGCACTGTAGCACATGGGGAAAGCACTGTGCCAGCCTACCAGGTCTAGACAAATCTAAGACCATGGCATCCTAAAGAAACATGATACTCAACCTGAAAGAATATGAATGGAAGGTGACAGCACCTAATAAACATTCCCAATGATTTTCAATGTCCTAATTAAATTAGTTCATAAAAGCTCAAAATTAGACCAAGTACCCATCAGTGTCTTCCAAGCATATGAAACAAGGACTACATATCCCCTACCTAGCTGAAAGGCAAAGTTAGTAGATGCTCTGATGTCATCAAATTAGAAATGGATGCTTGCACTGAATATAGCAAAGATTTCAGGATGTTTATGATGTCTAGCAAAAGAAAGGACAAAATTTGTTTCCACCTTGGTCACGGCCATCTAAGATAACTTTAGATCATAAGTCAGTTCAGAGAGGAACAAAACGAGCGCCTACCTAATGGCAGAGGATTCAGGGTAGCCAACAAATTTGACAGCAAGCTAAATGAAGTAAGCTGATGGTGATGCATTAGAATACTGAGAAAAACAAGAGTTCATGCGGATTTTAGCATTTACCTGTCCTCTTCCAACAGCACAAACCTCTTGGGTGGTACAAATTGAGCCAGAACCCATCCCAACACGCAATCCGTCTGCACCAGCTTGAATCAAATTCTGGGCCTGCGTAATTGTCACCACATTGCCCCCGATCAAATCCACCTCTGGATACATCTTCTTGGCAAACTTTATCATATCAAGCTGGTAAATGGAGTTCCCCTGTGAACTATCAATCACGATAGCATTTGCCCCCGCCTTAACTAGCCGCTCCAGCCTTCCCTTGTCATCCTCACGGGTCCCAATGGAGGCCGCAACTACAAACTTCCCGTCCGCTCCAAGAGACGGCTTGCCTAGCTTCGGATAGCTCCTGATGCGCTCCACATCCTTGGCAGTGATGAGATCGACAACCTCACCATCGTCGGATACGAGAGGGGCGTAATCCAGACCCTCATCGGCAAGGAAGGCGGCTGCTTTCTCGAAGTCGAAGGAGGCGGAGGCTGAGCGCGGTGTCGGTCGCATGTACTCATAGACAGCGACAGGAACCTCGCGGGAGGCAGCATCGGCTGCGACAGCAACGCCAACGAGCGTGGAGAGCGAATCTCCGTGCTCGGTGACGAGGGCGTATTCGTTGCCAGCGAAATCGTTGAGCGTCGGGGCAGAGGACGGGGAGAAGAAGGGCACGGAGGAGACGAAGGGGAGGCGTCGGGACTTGGCGGCGCGGACGATGGCGGCCTGGGCGTGGGGCTCGGTGTTGCCGTGCACGACGGCGGCGGCGCCGAGCGAGGCCATGGCCGTGGCCATGGCGGCCTCGGAGACGGTGTCCATCGGGGACGCGACGCAGGGGACGGAGAGCGGCACGCGGCGGGAGAGGCGCGTGGAGAGGTCGACGGCGTCGGCGGGGAAGCCGATGTACCCCGGCAGGAAGATGACGTCGTCGTAGGTGTAGGAGATGCCCTGCGAGAAGAGGCGCGGCGCCGCGAAGCCGTCGTCGGTGAGGTCGGCGCTGCTCGCCGCCATTGGTGGGTTGGGGGGGTTAGGGTTTTTGGCTGCGGGCGGCGGCGGAGGTGGCGGCGGGAGAGAGACGGGAATGAAGGGAGTCGTGAAGAGGGCGTGGCGTGCCCGCTGCTTGTGCTCGTGCTCTGTCAATCGATAGGGATTTGTTTGGCGGGTAGCAACGCGCGTGATGATTCGATGACAGGTGGGCCCGACTGCCCCGGCGGAGAGCCGAATCGTGAACTGGGCCGGGAGCCCTGGACGACGACAGAGGCACAGAGCCCACCAATCCGAGAATGTCCCAAAAAAAAAAGATGATAATATGAATGAATATGAATACTGTATGAGTGATATAATTTGAGGGAATCATATGCTTCCATTGAGACTGTTTGTTGGTTGATTTCTGGGCTGATAAGTCCGACTGGTGCTAGTTTATTGTGAGAGGGAAAATACTGTTGGCTGACTGATAAGCTCTGACTGAAACCAACAAACGAACATGCATTGTCTTCAGCCACCATTTCAGTCCGATGTCAAAAGTAGGGGCACGATTGGTTGCCTACTATTTTTTACCCAACCAAAATTAAGACAAGCTAAAATTTAGGCTCGCCAAAATCAAGGCTACCAAAGTTAGGGGAAAAAACACATGCATGCATTTGGTTGGTTGCCAAAATCAAGACTTGCCAAATTTCTCTTTTATATGCAGTTTAAGAATTTTATAAAGACTTGCCAAAACTTTAGCTATAAATATTGGTGTGACAATTCTTTCACGATAAACCAAATGATAACTATAAATTTTGGTATGCCCCCAGGAACAATCCTGTTTCTCTTTGTATTTGTGTACTCTCGCTTATGTCGAGAGGTATGTATGGCCCAAACTTTAGCGGTCAGTCTGGGACCTCGATTTTAGCCCAACTGTTCACAAAAGTTGAGCACGTTTTTATGCCCCTTTAGTTCGATGTTGAAATCAGAGATTCGGACTGGAAATTTTGCTTATTTTTATAAGGTAGTGTTTGGATGCGACCAACGGGATGAGATGGGATGGCCCTAGGATCAGCGCTGTTTGGTTGGAAGGACGCGGGGGGCGAGGACGTCCCATGTTCGAATATTCAGTGCAGACACAGGGCAACCCCGTCCCCTAAAAATTTCACGGACGGGGTCGTCCCAGGTGGGACGAGTGCGCAGGCTCGCGAGGAGAAAGAAGAGGAGACGTACCGAGCGTGGCTACATGGGAGAGCTCCGCCATGGCCGCCGCGCATGAGAGATGTGCGCGTCGCCAACACGAGGGTGAGTTTCAACCTTGCCGCCGGGCGGACGAGTTGTGACCCCGCCAATGCACGGACGAGCTGTGGCATGCCACACGCCGGGGCGAGCTCTGGGTCTCGCGCCAGCGGAGGAGGCTCGAGGCGCCGGCGAAGGAGGCAGCTTGGGGCACCGGTGGACGAGGCGGCGGCGGCTTAGGTCAGGGCTGCGCGGAGGAGGCTTGGGGCGGCACGCGTCCGGCCTCCGGTGGAGGAGGGCGGGCAGCGCGCTGCAGGAGCGCCGGTGGAGAAGGCGCAGGCACCGGCGGAGGAAAGCGGAGTGCCGAGCTCGGACTCAGTGGGTTGGGGACGGTTCAGAGCCGTACCGTTTCAGCGAAATAACAATGTTTTTCTCTTACAACAAATCAGCATCAACATCAACCGTTTTTCTAGCTAGCCGAACAGGAACGAAAGGGATAAAGCCAGAGAAGAAAAAGAAAAAATAAAATAAAATACAATGGCATATGGGTCCCATCTGTCAGTACCTGATCCCACTTTTGATGTCTCTAGACTAAACAGAATGGGTTGGTCCCATCCCTTTTCAACCAAACAAAAATTAGAGTCGTCACTTAGCAGAGTCAGAACCATTCCGTTCCATCTTGTCTCCCAACCAAACGGTAACTAAGTAAAAGATGTTATGGAGCATCTTTGGGCACCTAGGCTTTCAATGTGGTGCTCACTTCCTTTTTGTTTCAGCAAATGCCACCGTACTAGAAACTTTTAAATGTACTCCGTACCTTTGAAATTACTATAGACCACATTATCTTTATTAGTAATTCAAATATCTTTATTTTGATCAAGTTTATAGAATAATACTTCCAATTTTTGTGCGAGCCGAATAATAATACTTTCAGTGTTCCAAGTTATAAGAAGTTTTGTCTTTTCTAGATACATTGCTTTTACTAGATAAATTTATGTCTTTGATTATATTTTTAGAAAAATACATTTCATAACTAATATACTTATTCAATATAATTAATGTTAGTAATTTATTCAAAGTTAAAATTGTTTGATTTCTCGGGAAGTAAGCACCGCATTCTTTCTTTAGACAGAAGGGAGTATAGAGTATTGTTTCCCTCAGCTTATAGATCATTTTAATGTTATTCTAAGTATTTTTTTTCATTACTTTGTCCAAGTTTTTTAAAAAGTAGCTCATAGATCCTTTTTTGAAAAAAAAATCCAAGTTAACTTTTTTCCAAAAAAAAATCCAAGTTAACTTTTTCCTCTTTGTCCAAGTTGTAAACAAGTTTACATCTGAGTTAAAAAAATATACTATCAAAACATATTTCATACATAATTTAATTAAACTAATTTGATATTATATTACATAGACATATACTTGGTCAAACTTATAACGGTTTGACTTATCCAAGATTTAAAATTATACTCCTTTTTTAACGGAGGGGGTACGTTACAGAAAGTTGGTACATCCCGTCTCTCTCCCTATACTATCCCATTCTTGATACGCAAGGATAATGACGAGAATGACCATTTCGTCCACGCGTGAAACGCTGACTCTACAAGTTCAAACTTGCATCTGTCGCGCAGTCGAATTTTCCCTCTTTTTATTCCCCTTCCTCTCAAATCAAAAGAGGCCGAGATCATCACGGCTCCAATAGAGGGCCCACCATCCCAGTCAGAGCCAGCGGGCCGGACGCATCGCCGCCCGCGGCCCAGGCCCACCGTCCACTGGCCCCAAACTCCAGCCTGGCCCACATGAAAGCGATCGTCTCACCGACATCTTGACCCCGCACGTCACATGCCCCACATGTCACTCTCTCCTTCGACCCATGAAGCCGTGTACGCCACACACGCCCTACGCCCACACCCACACGAAGCGGCGCGTCCGCGTATACGAACGAGCACCTTTCCGGAGAATTTCGCCGCACCACCCAAAACCCGCAGCAGCCCGCATATATAAAAAAAGAAAAAAAAAGGAAAAGAAAAGAAGAAGACCTCCGCAGCCAGCAACAGCCAACAGAAGAGGAGGGGTTCCTTCTCCTTGCTTGCGCCTCCCGTCTGCGTGCGTGCGTGCGATCGACGCAGAGGCGCGCGCGGGCGCTCGCACAGCCCCGATCCGATGGCCTTCATGCGCTCCCACGTGAGTACCCCGCTCCTTCCTTCCTCTCGTCGATCCGCTCGCGCTCTGTGGCGATTCGCGCGCGCTGTGGTGTAGATCCGTGTGGCGTGTGGGAACTGGGTCGGTTCCGCGCGATCTGGGTGCGCTAGTTCGTGGAGGGCTGCCCCGGGTTAGATCTCCTTGGGGAGGGATTGATTTGACCTTACCCACTGTTCATCCGGATGTTCATTTGTTCTGACTGCAATTATGTGTATCGCCTATATATGTACTTACATGTTTACTTGTAAAATCAAGTAGATATGTAGTAAGTCGCTAGTAGATATTCAGACCTTGAGTTTGAGAATCCGTGCTGGAAAATGGCTTTAGCTGTGGAACTGGGGGATGGTGTGAAATTGGAGTTGAGCTGTAGAACCGGAAGTGAGTACATAGTCAGGACTCCACACTATTTTTTTTAGTTTTGAGTTGGGAATGTTCTTAGTTCATTCCTGTAAGGCAAGAAAGCTTAGTTCGTCCCCAGATGAAATACTGCCAGTCTTTGATAGTTCTCTGGTTAACATGTGCTGCAATTGACACAGTTTTTCTTTCCAAATCAGCCGAATCAATATGTGGCTACTTTGTAACAAGTTCTTTTATTTAAAAAAAAATGTGTTATGCTTGCTTGCATAGAGACTTTCCATTCCCTGGAGGGATGGACATGGTAGGTATAGTCATATTCCTGCTTCCACTAAGTGGAGATATTTGGAGTATGCCTCTTACACTGGACAATTTCTTTGATATCCTAGTCCTAGGTGCCTTTTATGTTATTGTGGGGACGGTGAACTGCTTCTCACACAGTTGGCCATCTATATTGGATGCAATTGATTGAATTAAGGTTAGCATGGATGATTGAGATTCTGTTAGGCGCTGGGTCTAATCCTGTCCATGATTGTGCAATCACTGAACTGTTCATTGTGCAAATGATTTTACATGTTATGAAGCATGGTTCCAATTTTCAATCCTGGATAGGGAGTAAGGATGAAAACGGAACCGAAATATCCCGAACCGAACCGCATCGTTTTCTATATTTAATCCGATCGAATCCGTATTTTCTTGTCCGACTTTACCGTTTTCGCTTTCGCATTTCAGATGTTTCGTATTTCAAATGTAAAAGTAGAAAACGGTTTAGACATTTTTCGACCGTTTTCTACTTTTAATTTGAAATATTCCGAATTCAAAATTCGGTTTAAACCGAATTTGGCCAACTGCACAGGTCATACAGCCCAATTACAGGCTGCTCACCACGCAGCTGCGTTCTCTTCTACTGGTGGCCAGCTGCCCTCTCTTATAGACGGCGCCCAGCCTCATCTATACGAATGCCTACCTGGGCCATAGCCCATCAAGCTCATCGGTTTAACCCCCACCTGCGAAGTCAATCATTTGATAGTTACTAATTGCTTGTTCTAGACTTGTATTTATGTGTCAGCTATTGTGTTAAATACCTAAGACCAAGGATCATGCACTTGAACTTGATCATGTATGTACTTAGTCATGCACTTGGTCCTACGGGTCGGTATTCCGTATTGAGTTTTCGTATATCGACCGTGTTCGACATAAATCCGCTCGAATTGGTTCATTTTCGGAATTCTCGATATTTCGTAAGTTCGCGTTCGTTTTCGTGTCCGGCTTTACCGTTTTCGCTTTCGTTTTCGTATTTCAAATGTAAAAGTAGAAAACAATTTAGGAGTTTTTCGACCGTTTCCGACCGTTTTCATCCTTAATAGGGAGTATCTGGAGGGATTTTCTGTATGTCTGTGTAATTTTGATTAGGCAATCTTGCTGGATAAAAATTTTGTATGGTTTCCTGTATGTGGAAGGTATACAACTTTTATGGAATCATGGCTCAATAACTACAGTTGATACATCGGAAGATTGCAATGTTGTTAATCTTCTAGTTACTACATAACCGTTATGCCTGTTCGCAATCAAACAGTTCATCTTGTATTTCAGTTTTTTTAGCCTTGATTTTCTTTTTAACTTCTGCACAATTCTCTGCAGTCAAATGCATCTTCCGGCATGGGAGTTGCCCCTAACATTAGGGAGACATTTGTTGAGCTCCAAATGAAGAAGGCATTCCGATATGTCATCTTCAAAATCGAAGAGAAGCAAAAGCAGGTGGTTGTGGAGAAGACAGGGGCTACTACTGAAAGCTATGATGATTTTTTGGCCTCTCTCCCAGAGAATGACTGCCGATATGCTCTCTATGATTTTGATTTTGTTACTGGGGAGAACGTGCAGAAAAGCAAGATTTTCTTCATTGCCTGGTGAGATTCAGAATCATTTATGCATATATCTTTATTTTGTTTCATTCATGTTTAGCTGTAGTGCCAATGCCAATGAAACTAAACTAGCTCCCATAGAAATAGCTAAAGAGGTAAACTGTTGATGAGTTAGTGATTTTAGGATTCTACATACTTACAAAAAAAAGTACTTGGATGCTTAAAATGCACCAAGCACAGTAACTTAACATGCTAATTATTTAAGCACTTCCTTACTCCTTTTGAACATTATTAACTCAGTATTGAACTATAAGGTTGGATTGGATCTTGTGATGTGATCTTGCTATGATAGCTCTCACCACCTCTAGTTTAATACTGTTTGCCTGGCAACCCATACTAGTTAGCAATTTAGTAGCTCTGGCCAAAAGGAATGACAATGCATGTGGTGCAATAGTTAGGAATATTCTTGACAATAATTGTTCATTCTTTTATGTAGATTCTGAGGTTGACTTTTTGGACTGTACTATATGTATCCTTATGATGTCTTCTATTCTTTCATGTTCAACGTAGCCACTCTGGCCTTCCTGCTGATTTCCCTTCACCAAACCTTTTACCTAACCCGCTATTATTCCAGGTCCCCATCAACATCCCGCATCCGTGCTAAGATGCTGTACTCCACCTCGAAGGACCGCATCAAGCACGAGCTCGACGGGTTCCACTATGAGATCCAGGCGACCGACCCATCAGAGGTGGACATTGAGGTTCTCCGGGAGCGGGCTCACTGAAGCTGGTTCGCCTTTGAAGGGACCTGTGGAGGGCCGTGAACCTTCGGTCAGATGCAAATTCTATTATCAAATGATGAAGCTCCCGCCGTGGTATTTGTTAATAAGTTCCTGTAAGCATATCATTTAGTCGCGATGCATGACTCTAGCTGGTGAAGCGTTATCGAAGCTGTATCGGTATGAGGTTTGGTTGTCTGAGCCTGTAAACGAAGCATGATTTGCAAACTTGTTATATTGTGGTATTGATGATACTGGATTACTGGCTGTGGCCTGTGGGTTGTTCGGGAATGGCGGTTTATGGTTGGTCTGGGTCTGGTGTGTGGACGTGGTTGTGGGTTGTTCGGGATTGCCTTGGTTGGTCTGGTGTCTGGCCCCCGGTTGGTCTGATTGTCTGTATCTGTTAGATATTTACTTGTGCTAATGAAACCTGGTTCCAAGTTTCAGACCGTAATTTACCCGTTGCTGGCGAATGCTATTGTGTTGCTGGAGATTGGAGTTTAAGACTGGGGGAAGCTTTATCCGTAATTGTCGTGTTGGCAAACTATTAGGTTGTCACATCATGGCTGCGGTTTTGCATGTGCGAATGGTTGTCGTCGCCTGTTACTTGGGTAGTCTGGCAGCGTTTTGCCCCAGATCAGGACTCGATCTGCTGATACTAGTATCTCTGCAAAAATGTGCGAGTGCAAATGCTCGAAATCGGGCACCAGGCAGCTGCCATAGTGCGCAGCGCAACCAAACAGCCTCCGTGTCGGTGTGCCGCCACCCAACCTAGCCAGAGCGGGCATGATGATGATCAGACATCAGAGGTTGGAGATAGGCGTTACTAAGAGAGAGGCTGGGGAACAGGCGCTCAGGTAACCGATCAAAAAAGAAAAATGACGATGGTCTTTGTGTTACTGTCATGGCAATGGCTGGAGTATCTGTGTCACTGTCATGGCCAGCTGTTTGTGTCACTGTCATGGCCATAGTTGGAGTATCCTTTTTCCCAGAGATCATGACGACACAAATAAATACATGCTGTCAGGATGATTGTGGACTGTGGTTTGGTTCATCTAATCTAATGGCGATGGCTATGCTGAATGCTGATATGCTATGGCTTTTCCTGCGGCAGATCCATGCTATGCTTGTCATGACCACAATATCCAACTCGTTGTTGGGCTACTATTCTACTGTAGTACATCTTGAAGAAGTGACAGGATGGGGATTTATAGTTGGTTTCCCTCCTGTGACAGTACTGCTGGTGCCTTTATCTAATCTAAGAAAAGGGAAGACAGAAGAAAAAAAAAAGAATCTTGAGCTCTTCGATCATGCTCAAATTCGAGGTTCAGTGCCCCCCTTCAGTTCTTTGCTCCAAGAACTTCGAAGAATAAATTAAAGGAACAACGCAAAGCTTCTGATTAACGTTTGCGACAAAACGCGTGCATGACAGATATATGTGCAGCACTACACTAATCGTCCAAAGCACTAGTACATAGTACAGTATATCTCCTCTATTTCTAGCTCAAAATACGTACGATCGATGCGCTAGCTGTGAAATCTTGAAAGAAAGATACTACAACACACCACAAGGTTAATTACACTGATGGCGACTAGGATATTGCTAGCAAAGATGATACAAAAGGTGACTGATGAGAACTTCTGAAGACCCTAACCTCACACTCGCACTCTCTCTGATCGTTACATCAGCTTGAGGAAAAGGAGGCGTGAGACCGTCACCTTCTTCCTCCTCCGTGTTCTGCTTCTGATGAGCTGAACTATTGCTTGGAAGCATCTGATGTCGCAGGGGATCCTGAGCACGCCCTTCTGATCATACCCAAACTCCATGGCCGCGAGCTCCAGCAGCCCGGTGAAGTAGGGGTGCTGAAGAACCTTCCTGTGCACCAGAACCCTCTTCAACTCCTCACCCTCGCCGACGAGCAACGGGATGTGCCCTCGCTTCACTGACGCGCTCTTCCCCATCCTCCTCCTCTGATCTGTAGTTATTCTGAGCCCTCTTGTTTGTTTATATATAATGAATGAATGCTTGTTGTGATGGCTGACGACTTTCAGATGTTTTCAGCGGATAAGACTTCGTTTATGCATTTGTTTATTGTCTCGTGGTCTGGTTTGATTTCCTCTTGAGCAACCGGTGTCTGTTTCCTTCATGACAGTAGAAACTGCCAACGGTGTGAGGACTAACAATTACTGATGGTACAACGGTGAAAAATAAACGCAGAATAATTACCTCCTAGAGGCATTCTGTTCCAACCCAAAATTACGAGTTCAGTATGTCAGGTTCAGGCCGTTCTGCATGGACATCTCAATAATTCACATTGTACAGCCATCGCCAATATGATAAGAAAATTTCTTCCCAAAGCGTCAAATTAGTGTGGTGTTTTTCATATGAATTGAGTCTTAAGTATTCAGGTCCTGTAAGGACATCTGAATTATTTCAGTGATTATTTTAAATTTCACTTAATAATCAGATTTGTTTGTAGAGTGTGGAGCTGAGTATGTCAACTCTTGTACCTGGACGGATTTTCCATCATGAGAAAAGGTACTGTACGGATTTCAGAATGATTCAACTGTAACCCGCCTCCATCAAGTCAAAGGGAAATTTAGTATAAAAGAAGGGAAAAAAGAAATTCTTTCCCAAGTGTACAGATTGCTAGGTATACCCAAGCATACAATTCCTTAGTATGTGCTCCACGTCTGAATACATTGTTCCACTATATAGGTTTTATTTATAGACTAATTCAACAATGCCACCAACAATTTTGGCTAAACTGAATTGCTTTCCAGAGACATTAAATATATCCTTTTAGAGATCATTTTAATCTCCTTACTCATGCATTAGACTCTATGATAATAATTCACAAAAACTAGTTTATTGTTTGACAATTACATTTTGAAAAGAAGAATATTTATGAATCACCAGTGATTATGCCCCATTTTCAGATACGCATGTAGTTGTCTTAATCTCTCTAGTGGTCCATCTAATGCCAAATGTATCTTTCATAAGCGTTTCAACCATTTCTATATTACCAATATCAACATCTGAGCGTCAATCATATCTGTTTTTAATCTCTTTCTTGTGGCGCAGTAGATGAGACTTTTAATTAGGGTGATGGTTTCCTCATAAGTCATACTACCAGGTATGCATTGTCTAAGAACTGATAACCCCCATTTGGAATATGTCAAGTATCAACTGCCTTTTGCACACCACGGTCTGTATTGGGTTCCAATGGGCTTGAGCTTATTTTACCACACGATTATCTTTGCGAAATGTTACTTAGCCTTCCAATGGCATCATTGCATATACAATTTGCCAAATTCACCAAGATATATTTTACTTTAGTATATCTAGTACAATTGACTTTGGGGAAGAAGACTTTTCTTCCAAGTTTTCGAGTTAATCGCACCACTAACAAATTACAGGTCATTTAGGATAGAGAACAAATAAATGAAATGACAACTTCTAACGTAACCTCTTCAGTATAAGCCTGAGAAGTTCTACAAGTGGAACTCTCATGCTTGATGACCAGACTGACATGCATGAAAAGTCTCCAAAGACCCACAATTGTTTTGTTTGTCAAGATATTTTGTTCGGTTTTGTACTGTGTGGGAAACCATGTTCTTTGAGTCCATGAACCACAAGCCACCGGCATCCTTAGCTCACTTGTTTCTAAAATAGAAGCTTATTAAGCACCACAGAAGTCCAACTGACTAGACTACACAAAATGTGAACGGTGAGACTAGGGAAAACATCGTTGTCTAGAACAAGACTACACAAGTCTTCCCGGGCCCTCTAATTTAAACTTAGAATAAATGTCACTGAGATTGATTGTAGCCAAACCTTTTAAAATACTCATGTCTTTATGGCACAGGAAGAGATCTAACTCGTACAAGCACACGAGAGAGTGATAGATCATGAAAATATCCATATTCCAATTTGTCTTGGAATCGGTCTCATGCTGTGCCTAGATATGTGCTCTAACTCGTATGGCGCAGGACTGCAGGAGAGAGTGGAAGACCACAGAAATGCACCGTATTTTGATATTAGGTATATATATCTACAGTTTTACCATTACATTTACAGTTTTGTCCGCAGACTCATACTAGGTTTTATTGATACATTACATAATATTTGCTAAAAGTTGTCTCATGGAGACAATGCTGATGTTCCATAATGTTACTAACTTGTTACCGAAGGAAGTATTGGACATGCTCTCTCTTCTAGGATATAAATCATTTATGATTCACATTGTTCAAACTTTTATAGCTTTGATCATCAAGAAGAAGAAAGCTCATAATGATTACTCCCTCCATTTTAAATTATAAGACATTTTGTTTTTTCTAGATACATAGTTTTTGATATATGCACTTAAATATATACTATGTCTAAATACAAAGTAAATAAACTAAAGTATCTAGAAAAATCAAAATGTCTTATAAATTAGAATGGAGGGTGGTTGATGACATTAGACTCATCATGTAAAATACTCTCAAATGTGTAATTTTTCTATCAAGATATATAGTGTATTTTTATAAAAATTAATAGCCAAGGTGTCACATTTTGTTTTGGAAAAAAAGTATCACCTTTTTAGACCATGCCAATGTTACGAACAACGTGTGCTCGTTACAATACTTGGCAACTTTGATTTTACTGTTTAATATCTGACCGCTCGTCTGCTATATGAATATCTGAACATATAGCCAGACATGTTTAATTATAGTACTTTTGACAACAAATGCAATGATACATGTCGCGGTAATTAACTATAAATATTTAAACAATATTGTTAGTCAAAGTATAAATACCAAAGCTATCAATTATTTGGAAACAGAGGCTAGTATTTTGGATCAGATGGACTGGTGGAGTACATGACACAATATACTACAAAAAAGTTGCACATTGATAAAGTAGCGATCGAACTAGTTTGGCAAACCTCCGGCCTCCGCTGTCCTGGTGTAGTAGAATCGTATAGGAATGTTTGTATGAGCTGTGCTTAAGCACAAAAACTGCTGTGGCAAACGGACACCGTCACTTTTGGACGCAGGAAACAATGAGGCGATTTTCTAAGCCGAAAATAAGGGTGTAGAAAAGTCTAGAAGATGAATCATGAAGGAATCAGGGCTGCTAGCTCAATATGCGTCTACATCGTGCAGTCCCTTTCGAAAAGGGATTCCCAATTTCTTGATTGGACTGAACGAAGGAGGCAAATGTGTGAGTTCTTTGCTGTCACCTTGGGATGGAACTTGGAAGGAGGAGAGGCGACAGAGCGACTAGACGATATACTCTTTCCGTCCATGAGAATCCCGTTCCTCGATCAGTGAATCAATTATTATAAGTTTAATCAGATCTATAAAAAACTACTAATATATAATATATAATAAAAAGAACTTTTTTACCATGGTTGCGGAGACATCAGGAAGCGTTAGCTGTGTCAATGATTGGTGGGTCTATATGAGAAAAGGCGTTGGGAGGCGTCGGGAGGCGTTGGATGTGTCTATGGTCGGTGGGCCCATATGCGCCATAACATCTCCCAACGCCTCCAAAGTTAAGAGGATTAGGACTTCAAATAAAAAAGTAGCAATTTCTTTTTCGTAGTTATTTTTTTAATCAAGGGTAGAACGAAGAATCCAGTGAAAGTAGGCTGCTGCGTTATCCCAGTATGTGGACCTGTCGGCGCTGGACATGTCCGCGCCGCCCGCCCCCATGGGGTACGGCAGCAAGAAACATCGGCTCCAAGCAGCTGACGTCGGGTGGCTGGAGTACCTCCTCCTCTTCGTCGGCCGCCAACACCGTCAAGGTCTCCTCCTGCCGCCCTCGCTCCGGTAAGCTAGCTAGCTGTTGATCTTGCCGTCTTCGCCGTGCACGCACACCTAGGTCGACTCACTCGGTGGATTGGATGCATGAGCATGCAGAGCGGCATTGGAGGAGTACATGGCTCATGGTGAGGGAGGTGTGTTGGGGCGGTGTTGGAGCTCATAGCGGAGGACACAGGCATGGACCGGTCCCTGCTGAGGGCGATGGTGTGGGGGCGGGAAGGCAGCGACGAGCTGGTGCGCGTGAACCACTACCCACCTGCATCGGCCGCCGCCGCCGGTGGATCATGGTGGCGTGTGGGGTTCGGGAGCACACGGACCCGCAGATCATCTCCGTGCTCAGGTCTAACCGCACGGCGGGCCTGCAGATCAAGCTCTAGGAGGATAGGTGGGTCCCCGTGCCCCCTACCCCGGAATCCTTCGTCGTCAACACACGGGATTGTCGGAAGGGAGATGTGCAAAATGACCATAATGCCCTTGGACGAATAAAATCAACAAAAATAGCTATTTAGGGTAAGCATTTAGTGTCAGCAAGCATTAGGAAACATTTTCAACCATTGTAAAATGGCTCAATAAGAAAACTATTAAATTAATTCTATATATATATATATATATATATATTATATTAAATTTATCTGAAAGATATAAATGTTTTTTTAAGATGGAGAGAATACTTCTCTTCTAGTACTCACTTTAGGGAACTTATAGCATAAACCAAAATGTTAGAAACTTAGAATATAGAACCAAGTGTCTCATTGAGGGCGTTTTCAACATAGAGCTTGTTTGGTTATGAATGAAGCAAATTTGCATGACATTTACCCTTGACGTCCGATGTTAGGATTACGTCTTTCGCGAGGAGCAACCAAACATCCTCTTAAAGCATGAACGGTACAAAGGATACTCTGAACTATACTTCAGCCACATAGCTCAAGTCGCATTGAGTATTCGGACAGTGTCCTGTTTGAATTTTCAGGAGTTTCATGTTCTCATATAGTTTTTTTTTAGGTCAAGTTAGGGGGGGTCTAAACCGATCCCCACCTGATTCTCATATAGTTTTATAGTCACTTTCAGTGAAGGATTTAGAAAAACAGGTTATCTTTCATCTCTAGTTTCTCCTCATAAGCTTTGATGAGTACTAATTTATAAGGGAGCATAGTAGAGATGAAACATTTTGCTGCTGAACCGTAATATCAAATGCTCACGTGGAACATGCTACCACGGATGAAGAGAAGGTCAGAAGTACGGCACGGGGCATTCGTCACTCGACCGTTGCCTCCGCTCCAGGCCAGCTCCCCTCCAGCCCTCTCCAACGGTCACCCGCCGCTACGCTGACACACAGTAGCTAGCACACTCCACAAGCTTCTTCTCTTCCAGCTGCAGCAGCACGGCCGCCTCCTTCCCTAGGATTCTCCTGCAGCTTCCATTGTCTGCGCCGCCTATTTAGCTCACCCCCGCCTCATCTTCCCTCCCAAGTCCCAAAGCAAAGCAAAGCTTCAAAGCATCTCTGCTCCTTTTTGCTTCTCTCGCTCCACATCCTTCCCCTGCGACTTCAGGCAGGAGCCAGACGAGAAGAGAGGACATGGGGTTCGTGCTGGTGGTCTCCCTGCCCTTCATCTTCCTCTCCATCCTTCTCGGCTTCGGCTGCTACTTCCTCGGCAAGCACAGGGGCCGGGAGGAGATGCGGACCGGCGTCGGCGCGCAGATCTACGGCACGCCGCTGCCGCCGACGGGCGTCGTTGGAGTATCCTCGCCGCAGCCTGAGCTGTTCCACGCCAAGAAACAAGGGCCCGAGGCCGTCTGATTGAGATCCAGACTCGACATTCGTTCTAGCTAGCTACTACTGCATGTGTCTTGGTGGTGATGTTGGATTTATTCTTTCTTCTTTAATTTCGTCCAGGCCGTGTTGAGGGTGTAAATTGAGACCGAGTCTGTGCTTGTCTCTAAAGATTGTTCATTGTTATGAGGGGGAGGGAATGATCGGTGATGGTGTGTGGATGTTGTGATATGATTGCAATCACAGTTTATATCTCTGTAAGCAAGCAAAGACCAAATGCAATGCAGTAGAATTGTCTTGTGTTCCAAACTGTCCTGACTCCTGCAGGCTGTATGTGTGTTTCAAGATTGCAATCAACTAATGCTGAGCATCTCCACCAGATCTCTTATATCACATCTTCTATAAATTGTTTTAGAGAGTACTTTAAAATCAATTTAGGATATAAGACTTGTCTCCTAGATTTCTTTCAGGATAGGGGAGAGGGTTGTTTTATGATGAGAAAGGAGGCTGTTTTTAGGAGATTTTATAAAAGTAATAGGTGTAGGAGATGAGATAGGAGCACCTCTATCTCTTGAAATGTTTGCGTCCATCTGAAGTTGGCTGGGTGGATGTACTGGGAACATAATAGGCGCAGCCATGGAAAACGTTTTCTAACCTTGTTCACAAGATAGGAAGAAAACCAAAATAGTGCACTACAATAACACGAAAAAATTCCAGTTTCCATCAGAAGCACAAATTATGACTTCCACAGTAAACAAATTGCTAAGTTTTAAACCAAGAGAGAGATTAACATCATATTCGTATCATCATAAGAAATTCCACAATCCTATAGAGATTGTTTGTCATGCCTGTGCGCTCATGACATTCTGGGGGTCTTCAGAAAGAGATGGACAAGGAAACGCTGGTCCAAGGCGTGGACACTATGTTCAAGATTGCGGTGCAGCTGCTGTCCAAGAAGCGTCGAGCTGTCGGTCAGCCCAGCATGCTGCAAGATGGCGATGATGATGATGATGCAGATCAAGGTCCGGAGTGATGGCAAGACTTGGGAAGCTGCCCGCCTCAACTCTGTTGAGATGTTTTTGTTAGCAATAGCTATCGTTAGCTGGATTGTTTTTCTGGCAGTGTAGTTCAAACTTTATAGCCTGTTCTGCATTGTTCTTCTATATGCTCGTCTAGAACTCTGAAACTGTCCTAAAAACTCTGCTGTATTTCCCGGCGTATGCAATGGAAATGGGGTGAATCCCTAGTTCGAAAAAAATATTCGTATCATCATAATACTGTTATAATCAGAGGAAACGCAAAGAGAGAAATAAAACGTGACACATCAAATCCTTTCCTTCTGCAAAGCTTGCTTAATTGCTGTTAACTTCCGTCTGAACTCTGAAGTTGGGCGGATGGCAGCATTTGGGATAATGGTTCACAAGACAGTGAGAAAACCAAAATGCCCTGCACTCTCCAATCACAAGTTTATTTCCTATTTTCAGAACCAGATTACCAGTTCCATCTGCAAAATAAACTGGGAAACTCTCAAGGATCGTGTGCAGAAACAAGTACGAATTTCTCAGTAAACAAAATCCTAAGTTTTAGACCAAGAAAGGCATTAACATCATATTTGTATCATCATCAATTCATAATACGGAGAGCATTTGCTCTCTGTTACAATCAGAAGAAACGCAAAGAAACTAAACCTGACACATCAAATCCTTTCATTGTTATTACAAACAGACAAAACCCAACTCCAAAATTCGCAGAACAAACAGTTCTGCCGAGAAGGAACAGTGCGCCTCATCCAGCAATGTCACGTCGGTTATCAAGAACAAGGCCAAGTAGGCAAATGAGCACGTGATGATCCGATCCCTCCCCACCCGACCTGCAATGCAATCTTGGCTAATTGCAGATCAGGAACCTGGTGAGCACGAGCACCCCGCAGGCGGCGGCGAAGAGCGCGACGACGGCGAGGTCCCTGGCCTGCCACCTCCTGGGCCTGTCGGCGCCGCCCTTGGCCTCGACGCGGAGGCTCTTGGCCCTGCGCAGCGCGTCCACCTCCTTGAGCAGGTCGAAGTGGACGCCCTTGCGCTTGAGCTCGGAGACGCACCTGGCGAGGAGCAGCGCGTCCTCGCGCTCCCGCGCGAGCAGGCGCTCCAGGACGGCCTCCGTGTCGGACTTGTACCGCAGCGCCCAGAGCATGGAGAGCGAGGAGAGCAGCGAGACGAGGCATGGGATCCAGGACCGCCTGCACGCCGCCGTCGAGGCGGAGGCGGAGCCGGAGGAAGCGGATGAGGAGAGGAAGAGGAGCAGGACGGAGGCGGCGTGGAAGGCGAAGAAGGCGCAGTAGAGGAAGGCGATCTCCTTGCGGGAGCCGTCGAGGCGGGCCTCCCGCAGCGCGACGCGGCGCGCCAGCAGGTCCTCCTCCTTGACCCACTGCTTGAGCAGCAGCCGGTGCGTCCCGCTCTCCGCGATCTGGCTCAGCGGCTGCTGCTGCCGCGCCTCCGTGACGACGAGGGCGCCGGAGTCGGCCATGGCGGCGGCGGCGGTTTCGTCTCTCGTGCGCGTCCTGTTGGGAAGGGGATCTGGAAGGGAAGGGAAGGGAATTTCTTCGGGTGGGTGCAAGCGCAAGTGCAACGGTCGGGGGAGGGCGCGTGGGCTTAAAAAGGTTGGGGAAAAGCCAAAAGCGGGTTCGCGCACCTGAGCGGCGCAACGGTCGGAATTTTCTCCTCGGGCCGAATCACGCGGGGTCCGGGAATGGGCCACTGTGGACAGAGGTTTTGGTCCATTAGTTGGCGTCAGTCCGGCAAGGCACCGGCCCACTAGCCCACCGGCAGTTCTCTGACTCAAACATTTTTCTGCAAAAACATGCCACTCAATAATGCAATGCAACTACTTGGTCGTGTGCAACATTTCCTGTTCTGCAGTCTGACATAAGAGAAGCCTTGCTCCAACTGGTATCTAGTTGCAGAGCTTGACTTATGTCACCAGAATGAATAGTACAAAATGAATATACTTTGCAAAACATTAGCATCTAACAAATAAATAAATGGCAAATGCAGAAGAGTAGAACGACATGTTTCACACTTTAATCATATAAAATCTGATTGGTTGTTTGTATTAGTCTGCATCTAGTCTTGTGCAGTGTAGTTTGTTCATGTTTGGTTGCCTGCATAGGCTCCCATGCAAGCTTGCACAGTGCTCAAAGCAGGTCCAATGTTGCATTAGCTACTACACTAAATTTGGTCGTATTAGACAATGCATATTTACACAAGTTGATGCGTACAGAAAAATAAAATATTTTCATCCCCCATACCTCTACTAGAAACATAAGATCCTAACTGGAACATGGAGGTGACTATAAATACAACAATAAAATATAAACAACAAAACACAACTTTATCAAGTACGGCTTTGCCTATGAAAAACTACCAAACACCAACACACTGCTTATGTTTACGTTGGCTTAGATTGTGATGAACACCCATCACACGCATGCATGACAGACACACGTTATGTCGTCTTTCATGATTTTACAGATTTGATAAATAATCTTTGGTTTGTTGTTGAAAAACATTGTGTTGAAATCATTGTGTTCCAGGATGGTATTATGTCTATAATGCAGCTAAAGCTAATAAAGCTAAACAAACAACCAATTATACCCGTATGGGTTCAAGAAGCAAGCAACACAATGGGTGCAATTATTTATTTAAAAAAAACCTCATGTGTTTAAAGCATTAAAACAAGGTACAAAAATTGGGGAAACGACCACCTTGCAGCTGGCCATAAAATCTTTTGTTACTCAGAAAAGCATCCAGAGAGTAGAGTATAGTAGTATACTAATATGAAAAGATCGCCGAAATAAAATCAAATTCCACAAAAACCTCAAAAAATCTTTAAGATGCGCCATTGGAAACGGGACACACACTATCGTCGGGCAATAGGGACAAAGACCACGAAAGGCCTCCCTGTACACTGCGACACTGGAGGTTGAAAGTTGAGTAGAAAGTTCGTTATAAGTTTCATGAGACCCAAATAATAATCTTTGCATAATAATCTTTGCAGAGATAAGAACCTAAAGTTTCCATTAATAATAGTTAAAACAGGCACTCTTCCTAACCACGGACGACAAGGCATAGAAGAGCAACGAAGGCAATTCATGTACTTGGGGCCTCGCGTGGACACGCAAAAGAGAGAACACCCATCCACGCGCATGCATGACAGACACACATCACGTCGAAGTCTCTTCCGCCGAAAGGTCAGTGGGGATTGGGGAACGCGTGCCTGGAGGTTCCACGATGCGTGTACGATATAGCGGGGGCCACGTCTCCCACATGCACTGCGGAAATCAAACTCTCTTCGTCTGAAAGCGTCGTTTTTTTTATTTTAAACTTCTTATTCGACCTTTCATCTTAATCAAAAATTTTATATAAATATTATTTATTTATTATAACTTATTTTATTATTAGAGATACTTTAATAATAATTTATTTATTTTATTATTTATATAAAAATTTAAATAAGATAAATGGTCAAATAAGAAGTCTAAAAATAAAAAAAAATACGACACTTTTAATAAGATAGAGGGAGTACGTCGATGGCAACCAACAACAGCGCACCAACGAGGCAACAACACAAGCCCAGAGGGCGTCCACAGCTGTAACAAGCAACCTAGCTATGGAGTGGCATGGAAGCAGCAAGACGTACGACCGCATGAAGCCATCGCCAGTGACCGGTCCACCGCTGGCCAGAGACACCACCAGCCACAGGCTCTACGCTAGCACCAGGAAAGAGCTGCAGAACTGGCTTGACCCGACACAAATTTTGCTGATGCCACTCAATCCCAAGGATCCGTAATGTCCCAAGAAAGATTAAATGGTTTGGCAACTTTGCATCGAGAAGAAATTGTTAGATGAAATTGATATTGAGGCCATCATCAATGACTTCACGGGGCATGGAGTAATGATGCCAATATAGATGCATATCATGTCGCATTGACCTCTCCATCGAGTGTTGGAGGATATAAAATTAGCAAGCACGTACGCATGCAAGTTCGGAATGTGATCGAGCAGCAACACTCATGTCGATAGTGTTTATTTATAGCACATAGGGGAGAGGGGCAAGGAGCAACGACAACTGCTGAACCCTAGGGGCGCTTGGGTTGAGTCGGGAGGACGGGTTAAGTCCTCGACTTGGCACACACGTGCTCCATGTAATTCTAAAAAACATGTAAATAATGGCATATAAAAAACAAATCAACTAGTTAGACGTCCAATAATGATCATTGACTTGTCACATGTGCTCCGTGTAATTCTAAAAAAACATGTAAATAATGGCATATAAAAAAATAAATCAACTAGTTAGACGTCCAATAATGACCCATCGGGCTTTTTTACAACAACAACACAAATAAGACTGACAAATGTAAATATAGTAGTGCTGAGCTTTCATCTCAAAATAGTTAATCATTACCATGGGTTCTATGAGTACTATCGACACTAGTATAATGCCCGTACTAATGCAACGGATTTATCTTGGAGACGCACATGAAAACAATCAATGTTTTTTTTTTCATAGTTCAACTTTTACACAATATCTTTGAGCATGTATACAATCTGGAGAAACTAAGAAGTAATAGTAAAGTTTTTTCTCATATAACTATTTAAGTTATATTCTGTCTAAGTCCTTAATCATGGCTCGGAGATCTTCAGAAAAGTTGTCAAAACATTCGTTTGCATGGCACTTAAGAATGTCCCCAAAAATTCCATCCTCAGTGAATTTGATAGCTGTGCAGAGTAGATATAATAAGTTAAGTTATTAATTTTATATGTAGTGTACGGAATATAGTTAGAGAATATATACTTACAGTGTTGATCGGTGGCAATCTTACACCATCCCATGACTTCATGAAATTGTATACAAGGAAGCCTCCTAATTTTCTGGAGATGAGCATTTGTTTGATTTATTGTACATAAATCAAATAACTATTTTGTGATAATAAGAAAGATGAAACATATTATAGGTGATTACCGGTCTTTATGTTTTGGAACTTTTGTAACACATGCAGGGAATATTCGCTTCCAGTAATAAATATCGCCGTCCCACTTAGAATTTATCAGTTTCATAGCGAGACTAAACCTTTTAGCAATAATGTGAAATGTAGCTATATATGGCATGATTTGATCATAACCCTTGTAACATACATCATATGGGAGTGGATCCATAATGTGCACATTTTTCTTTTGCATGTCCATTATGAATAAAGTATATAGTCCATCTCAATAATATGGCAGTAGAATCTAAAAACATAGACATAGAATATAAGTGTTTAAAAAAGTATAATACATATAAATAAAATATAAAGGAGTACACTGAACATATCTTACATTGCTGCAATCTTTAATTTTGTATTCCATGTCAGGCCAGCACTCGAGCACTTTTGCCAGTTTATTGTGGTCTAGTTTGCCATAACATCGTGGATCTCGTCCAAACTGGGTTATGGACTGTTGATTTTGCAAAATTTATAAGTATTTGATTAATTATAGAATTAAGAATTAGATGAACTTATAGCAAACTGGAGATCCATAAAGCTCACATTGGAAACTGGACCAAAAGACAGAGGACCTCACCGTGGAACCGACATGGATTTTATTCAGTATGCTTCCATGGGTTTGCTAGGTCCATGATAAGAGATATTAGTTATTAGCTACCGTAAGCAAGCACCGTAGAGCTATTTACTCATCATCGCAGATTGACAAGAAAAGAAAACACGGATTAAGATTAATGTATCGTATATTAGCTATCGTAAGCAAGCACTGTAGAAGCTATTTACTCATCATCACAGATTGACAAGAAAAGAAAACACGGATTAAGATTAATGTATCGTACAGACCAGGCATGAGAAGACCTTGGCCCGCGGCGGCGTCTCGCTCTTGCTCTGCTTCAGCTTCGCCACCGAGCGGTTCCATGAAAGGAAAAAAAACTCAGATCAGATCAGCACGCTGCGCAATCAAACCAAACCAAATCAAACCAAGAATCACACCAGAGAGATCACCCCGAAGACGACGGCCAGCGACGTCTCCGCGTCCGCGTGGCTGCAGCAGGTGCTCGCGCTGCTGTTCCCGTCCAACCTGGCCGTGAAGGCGGCGCTGTTCGCGCTCGTGGTGGCGCTGCTGCCGTCGGGGTAAAACAGAAGATGAAGGCTTTATTAGAAAATAATAACATAAAACCATAAACCCTAAGGACAATGTTTGATATGATTGGGTTCGATGGCTTCTCCAGCTGATGGTGGTAGGGTTGCTGCCTTCTATCCAGGATGCATACCTTCTTCACAGACTCGGCGACAGTGCGGTGCTCTCGCAAATTTATCTGTCTTGCAAATTAAGTAGACATCAAGATCTTATCGACTCATATCTTCTTTCAGACTACAATAGAGATCGAGATCATATCGGCTTATCTTTTGTAACCATTTGTTATAACTACCGAACTGCTAAGTTCTATAGCTGTTCGGTAACTACATAGTTTGATCTTATAAA